AGGGAGCAAATTGATATATACACTTTGATATATAGGGAGCACTTTGATATATACACTTTGATATATAGGGAGCACTTTGATATATACACTTTGATATATAGGGAGCACTTTGATATATACACTTAGATATAAAGGGAGCACTTTGATATATACACTTTGATATATAGGGAGCACTTTGATATATACACAGTGACATATAGGGAGCACTTTGATATATACACTTTGATATATAGGCAGCACTTTGATATATACACTTTGATATATAGGGAGCACTTTGATATATACACTTTAATATAAAGGGAGCACTTTGATATATACACTTTAATTTATAGGGAGCACTTTGATATTTACACTTTGATATATAGGGAGCACTTTGATATACAGGTCCTTCTCAAAAAATTAGCATATTGTGATAAAGGTCATTATTTTCCATAATGTAATGACAAAAATGAAACTTTCATATTTTTCAGATTCATTGCACACCAACTGAAATATTTCAGGTCTTTAATTGTTTTAATACTGATGATTATGGCATACAGCTCATGAAAACCCAAAATGCCTGTCCCAAAAAATTAGCACATCATGAAAAGGTTCTGGCAGCACGGTGGCGCAACTGGTAGAGCTGTTGCCTCTCAGCGAGCAGGTCCCTGGTTCAAACCCCGGTCCAGGGGCCTTTCTGGGTGGAGTTTGCATGTTCTCTCCGTGCATGCGTGGGTTTTCTCCGGGTACTCCGGTTTCCTCCCACAGACCAAAAACATGCATGTTAGGCTGATTGGTAACTCTAAATTGTCCCTAGGTGTGAGTGAGAGAGTGAATGGTTGTTTGTCTCGTTTGTCTCTATGTGTCCCTGTGATGGACTTGCGACCCATCCAGGGTGTACCCCGCCCCTCGCACAGTGATTGCTGGACATGGGCACCGGCGACCCCCGTGACCCAAAAATGAAATAAGCGGGTAAAGAAAATGGATGGATGGATGGATGGATGAAAAGGTTCTCTAAACAAGCTATTAACCTAACCATCTGAATCAACGACGTAACTCTAAACGCCTGCAAAAGATTCCTGAGGCTTTTAAAAACTCCCAGCCTTGTTCATTACTCAAAACCGCAATCATGGGTAAGACTGCCGACCTGACTGCTGTCCAGAAGGCCATCATTGACACCCTGAAGCAAGAGGGTAAGACACAGAAAGAAATTGCTGAACGAATAGGCTGTTCCCAGAGTGCTGTATCAAGGCACCTCAGTGGGAAGTCTGTGGGAAGGGAAAAGTGTGGCAGAAAACGCTGCACAACGAGAAGAGGTGACCGGACCCTGAGGAGGATTGTGGAGAAGGGCCGATTCCAGACCTTGGGGGACCAGCGGAAGCAGTGGACTGAGTCTGGAGTAGAAACATCCAGAGCCACCGTGCACAGGCGTGTGCAGGAAATGGGCTACAGGTGCCGCATTCCCCAGGTCAAGCCACTCTTGAACAAGAGACTGCGTCAGAAGCATCTCGCCTGGGACTGCTGCTCAGTGGTCCAAAGTTATGTTCTCTGATTACAGTAAATTTTGCATTTCCTTTGGAAATCAAGGTCCCAGAGTCTGGAGGAAGAGAGGAGACACAGAATTCACATTGCTTGAGGTCCAGTGTCAAGTTTCCACAGTCACTGGGGTGTCATGTCATCTGCAGGTGTTGGTCCACTGTGTTTTATCAAGGGCAGGGTCAATGCAGCTAGCTATCAGGAGATTTTGGAGCACTTCATGCTTCCATCTGCTGAAAAGCTTTATGGAGATGAAGATTTCATTTTTCAGCACGACCTGGCACCTGCTCACAGTGCCAAAACCACTGGTAAATGGTTTACTGACCATGGTATTACTGTGCTCAATTGGCCTGCCAACTCTCCTGACCTGAACCCCATAGAGAACCTGTGGGATATTGTGAAGAGAAAGTTGAGAGACGCAAGACCCAACACTCTGGATGAGCTTAAGGCCGCTACCGAAGCATCCTGGGCCTCCATAACACCTCAGCAGTGCCACAGGCTGATTGCCTCCATGCCACGCCGCATTGAAGCAGTCATTCATGCAAAAGGATTCCCGACCAAGTATTGAGTGCATAACTGAACATGATTATTTGAAGGTTGGCGTTTTTTGTATTAAAAACACTTGTCTTTCATTGGTGGGATGAAATATGCTATTTTTTTGGGACAGGCATTTTGGGTTTTCATGAGCTGTATGCCATAATCATCAGTATTAAAACAATTAAAGACCTGAAATATTTCAGTTGGTGTGCAATGAATCTGAAATATATGAAAGTTTCATTTTTATCATTGCATTATGGAAAATAATTACCTTTATCACAATATGCTAATTTTTTGAGAAGGACCTGTATATAAATGAACAACAAATATTTGGAATAATCAAGTACTCTATGTTCAATGGATTTAAAAAATACATAAAAATGTTTAACCTTCAAAGTTGTAAGGTGTGTTGAAAATCCAGAGGATAAACTGGGTGAGCTTGTTGAATAATGCAGTTATTTGCAAAAACGCTTCAGTGTTGCAATTCATCAAAATGAGTGAGAAATATTTGTCATTTCGGAGATTAGCAAAAAGTGCGTGCGCCCATAAATCTGTAAAAAGTGAACATGACAGTGTGAGACGGTGAGTAGTACCAATTGCATTGCTGTTGAGAAGAAAAACTCCATGTGCCGAGCCGTCCCCTTCCTGCACTATATAAAATGGATGGGAGCCGTAAAGGTTTGCATCAGCCTGTGGAGAAATAACAGCGTTGGCATCAACGGGCTCCATTTAGGTCAGTGAAACCAGTGCAACCCACATGTGGCGCCATATCTCTGTTCCAGAGAGTCAGAGAGGTCCAGTTGAGGTCCAGGAGGAGAGAGGTGTAATGCTCGCCAAGACCGGACACAAAGGAGGAGGCCAGTGATGTGGACAGCTGCAGGTACTGGTCAGCAAACAGCAGGGGGGCAACTGTGGTGTTCATACTAGACACAGTGCAAACAAACACCAGTCGTCCTGTCAGTTTACACACGATGTATCACGCACGCACAAACAGAAGTCAAGGATCATTACAGTAACACGTACACGACTCTTCCAGTGGATTTACGCCTCACTGTGAAACCAAATGGATCAGGCTGAAATTCAGCAGCATAGAGAACATCCTGAGGTTCAGCTTTTGTCTGATGAATGTCATCTGGGAGGGGAACTTCATACCGCTGAGAAGATGGGTCTTTTAACTGAAGAGAAAACTTGAGTCACTCAAACACATCCCAAAGAATGCAGCACGTTAAATTACAAACTGACACTTCCATCAACTTAAAAGAAATAAAAACACATATCTAGGTTTGGTACTCACAGTGATGCGTAAGCAGCCTGCAGACTCCTCTGTGATCTCAAGGCTCAAAGTGGAGACGTCTTTGGGAAGATATGAAGGACTGGTTCGGGTCAGAGTGGCAGTCTGCCCCCTTTTGGTGGGGGCAAGGGGACCCATTTTGTAGCCAGGGTACAGGGAGGGGTAGAAACACCAGGGTGGTCCTGAATATTCAGGCAGAGGAGCGTAGCAGCACCCCCTGTCTTCACACTCCCTCTGACTCAGGACCCTGTCTCTGCAACAGTCAAATCGACCCAACGGACCCGTGGTGCATTCAAGTTTTCCGGAAATAACAAAACTTTGGAGGCTTTCTGAGTCGCCGTCGCCCTCTGTAACATTTTGTAGTATTGCAGCTCGTTTGTACGTTAAAACCCCGCTATACTCGTCATTAACTGACCAGACCAGTCTGCCTCTATATAAAAGGTTGCTGTACAAACAAGCTAACAAAGACATGGCGAGGAGGAGCACAGAGACACTTGAACTACACCAAAGAGCCATGCTATTCATAAAGCGCTGAAGCTAGCCGTGGTTGTTAATCACAAAAATTAAATCAAGGCCTCAAATGAATACATAAAATAAAACAAACACCATTATTACAACACTGGAAGTAAGGAATCTTCGCTGAAATCTTAGCAAACATCGGATAACATGAAAGCTAAAAATACTACAGCAAGCCCAGTGGGACAAAACATGAAAACAATGCTTTCGCCTAAGTCAGCTTACTTTTGTTCGGCTCTTTGAAATGTTATGTTCTAATATTGTTAGATTTTTCACATTTTTTAATATTTTAAGTGTGTGTAAAACTGAATGCATATATTGTCCTGTAAAACGTGTTTTAAAAAAACTTTAATATCACATATTATACAACAAAATAAATGTACTTGTTTGCCATTATGTTGTGTTTATATTATGGCAAATGTATAAACCTAATGGTCAAAAAAAAAAAAAACACACACACACAAAAAAAAAAAAACTGACAGATCTGACAATTTTTTTTTAAAAATATTTAAAGTTTTTGAGTTATTCACAACTTTTTAATTAAGAAATATACTAAACCATGGGTCTGCCACCATTGCGATAAAAAGCCATTTTTGCCACTTTGTTTTACGATGTGTCCAGAGCTGCAAAACCTGCTACAACCATGTACTATCAAGTAGTGGCCCATGGACCGCTAAGTTTGTTGGAGGTGGCTTTTTCGACCAGTGGGGGTGATATTATAAAACGAAAATAAGTCTCACCGTGTACGTCTCAACTCACCATATTCCTCCTCAGCAACTTGTCTTACAGATGTTCCAAAATATTCTGGTAGTTTTGAGAGAAAGATCACGCTCTGAGACTGGAAGTTGACTTAACGTGGCTAACAAACTACTAGCATGATGTAGTCCACGTTTTACACCTTATATTTGTACTTTCCTTCACGTATTTGAAAATGACAGGAAATCTACTAAACTAGCCATTTTTATTATTGGTAAGAATTAAATAAAATTCTGTTTTATTTGAGTTTTGGTCAAAGCCTGAAAGAGCCGCTGCAGAGGTACCAAAGGGCCACATGTTGCCCTGGAGTGCAGATACCTTTGCTAAACCATTATCACTTAAAAATGAACTCTTGCAGATCTTCGGTGTAAAAAAGACGTTTAAATCTTAATGAATAAAAATCAAGTTACAAGTACCACATGTACATGTATTTATTTTTGTTTCTAATCTTCATGTTTAAAATGAAAGACTAATTGTTATTTTGTTTATCTAAATTCCCATATGGAATGTACATATATTGCAACGTGTCAAAGTGAATATTTAAAAAGTCACAGATGAACTTTACAAAAGTTTCCAGTAGTTCAACTGCAGAATATTTAGTGTTAAATTTGATAAAGTAACTCCGGGAGTGACATGCAGTTGCAGTGGAACAAGTTTTATTCAACTCACTTGACTTTTTACATGAAGTAAACATCCAACACTTACAGATTCATTATTTTTAAATTTAAAATAAAATAATTTTATTTTACTGGGTTGCAAGATTTCCCTTAAGCAATAGGGGTGCACCGATTTGGCCCCAATTTCCTTCATTTTGGGAAATAGGCCGATACTTGCATGAGAAACCGATTTGACAATTTTTTTAGTTTTAACAATTGTCTGAACTTCATTTATATTTCAGAGCACTCATGGCCAGTTAAAACAAGTTTGTATTGTTTCTAGGATATTGTTCAAGGTTATGTTTTTCAACAAAATAATATTGGAAAATTGAAGGTGCATTGTGATCTTATAACACCTGACAATCGGTATCGGCCAAAATCAGAATCGGCAGGTCAGACTTTTTAGAAATCGTGATCGGCCAGAAAACTGCAATCGGTGCAACCCTATTAAGCAGAATTAGATTTTTCCAAAGTTTGTGTAAAGACATTTATATTCAGCTGTGTATAACATTGTTCTTCAACTTACAATACATTGAGAATATTGTACACGATCCAAGTTACAATACAAGAAATATTTGTGGTTTGTATTTATTTTTCCCTTATTTCAGATGTGGTTTTAAAATACACTTGTAAATTAAAAAAAAAGTGCTAAACAAACCTACTGAATTACCTTCAAGGTTAAAATGCAGTGCATCAACATTTCTAATGGTATTTTACAAACATTAGTTAAAAATACTCAACATAAGAGCTTAGACTGCTTTAAGACATTATTCATATCAATTTGGGCATTAAACCAAGTTTCATTAAGTTTACAAACAGCCATCCATGCCTAAAGACAATCTACTTTTTCACAAGGATGTTGCAGGCAACCGGACCTCTGAAGGTGAACCCCAAGTAGAAGGTGATGTTTTCATTACTGTGGGGCACTGAAGGTACAAAAATGGGCCGAATATTAAATTTCCTTTTCTGTGGGCCTTCAAGGTACACCACTCTATCCTCAGTCCACCCAGAAACACGCTTCAACATCTTGGCTATCTCTGGACTTTTCCATGCCTCGCCACTCAACCACTTCAAGCGTTTCTCAGAGACCGAGGATCCTTTTGTGATTTTGTCAAACTGTCTCTTGTGGACAAATTTATCCAACCCATTTCCATTTCCCAGGAAAAAATGGGTGTAAATCCTTCTTCTCCGTTGAGGAATGTCTTTCAGCTTGGTAAAGTAACCTTTCTCAAGGTGCTCAACTGATGATTGGACTATTTCATATTTGCTTTCCTTCTCATGGTCTGTGTCATGATCTTCTGGCCAGAATAGCAAGGTAAGCAAAAACAAAGCACTTGGTAAACATTTCCTTTTATCAGATGGAATCTGACGGCAAAGAATCTGTAGATCTTTCAGAGAAGCTACATTTTGAGCTTGTGGGGACAAGCAGTGGAGCGAAATGTGTGCTGCTATGTAATTGACAATATCCCTTTGGCCAAATTTGGCCTGTAAAGGGTTGCTGGGATAGAGAGTAAGGATTCTCTCCAGACGTCTTACTCCATCTCTTTGATCAGCTAATTTGGATAGAATGGATATGATGTTCCCTCCTCCAAGATGATAGATAATCATGCGTTTTTGGAAAGGTGTGAGCTTGGCTGGGATTGACTGGTCTTGTTGCAGAAGTACAACAGAATCTGCTTCACTGAAGTACTTCCCATACTCAGAAGATTTTTTTGCCAACCATGTGAGAGGATGGCTTATCTTTTCTTCAGGACTTTCAGGGGTCTCTTCTTCAATTCCAACATCTGTTTGAAAGTAACTGAGGTCCTCAGAGATCCATTCCAAGGCATCTTGCATCGTCTTGTGAAGTTTTTTTAAACGGGAATGAAATGGTTCCCAGGCACTTTCAAGTTCTTCTGGAATGTAACCTGTTAACAGGTACTTCATACATTCGGAGTGGCCATTGGTTCTGTTTGAAAAGACTTGGAGCGAGGAGATCAGTTTGAGAAGATTGCATCCAACCTCGACTTCATTGAAAAACCCCGAACTGTTAACGTCTTCCATGTCAGCCTCAGTTGCCCTCTCACATTCCTGAAAACACTCTATGGCTTTCAGGGCAGTCTCCACAGCATCGGCTGTACTTTGGGCCGTCTTTGACAAGTTGCCATTCTCTATTGTTTTAAATTTCGCTTGGAACCATTTTCTGTAAACTTGTCCTTTTGTGTCAAGTATATATGAGTTATTGGGCAACTGTTTAGCAGCTGTCTCAGCCCAGTGTTTTGCTTCTTCAAACTTTTCGTAAGTGTAATGAAGACGAGCAAGTTGTTGTGCAAAGAAAGGATCTTGATGGAAACGCTGGAAAGCTTCCTCGAGTAATTCAATTGCTTTGTTAGGGCTTTTCTCGATTTCACACATGTACTCAATGAGAGGAGAGAAGAAACTGTCATACTCATCTCCCTTACTTATTCTGGATCGCCTTAAGAAAAGGTGCCTTAAAAATGACAAATACTCATCCCTTCCAAATCGGTGCTCAAAGAGAACCTCTTCACAGAGCAAACTCATTGCCAGTCTGCTTTGGGTCTCGTTGTTCTCCAGAAGTTGTTGAAGTATTTCTTTTGCAACAAGTGGATGTATGATTCTGATTGATTCAATGTGTGTCTTCTCATCTCTGAGGTGCAAAAGGACAAGTTTAGCCTGATCACTGAGTGACGTTTCAAAATTGTGCTGGCGGAACCTTTCCAAGTGAATGGTTAAGGCAAGCAAGGCTTCACAATGGGACTGAGAGATGAAAGAGTTTTGAACATACGTGTTTAGCAATGCGACATAGAGAATGAGGCGAGTGGCAACTGAATGACGTTCAATGCCTTGAAGCAAGTGTTTCACAAAGCCTTGGATGTAATCTTCAGAGAATCCTTCACTCATCAAAACAAAGGTCAGTATGAACTCAGGTGTATATCGTTCCTGAAGATCTTGGCGTTTTCCGGCAAACTTTCTCTTCTCTTGAGCAGATAGTTTGTGAGTGACCGACACATTCTGCAGTGGAGACTCCTTACATTTTTTCTCTGGATCGTGGGAACGTCTACAGCTCAACAAAATGAAACAAAGAGTTCCATACTGGATTCGTTTGATGTTTACGGCTTCCTCTAGTTCATTCCTGAGATCATGTAAATACTCTTTGTCCATGTCTTCAATGAAGAGCAGCACTGGAAGGCACTTCTGAGGATCTTTTTCTTCATATTCTCTTAGCTCCACTGTATGCTGTGCAACAACAGAAACCGAGTATGAAGGTTTTACCACTGCACATCTTAGATGTTTCCTGTTGTTCCACAGCACTTGTCTTGCCACTGTGCTTCCTCCACTTCCAGGGTGATGATAGATGTTTATAGAGTTCACCGGAGTCTGATCCACATTATTTTTCAATGCATCACTGAGAAGCTTGGACGTTTCATGATAGGCCTCTCTTTTAATAAGCTCTCCAACATACTCATGCTCAGCAAGCCAGAAGTTCAACCAGGTCACTCTCCCACCTCGGTAGAACTGTTCTTCAATGTTTGTCTTTTCTTCGTTGATGAAGTCTTTGTTTGTTGCATCACAGTGATTGACTGTCAGAATTTCCAGGGAATACATTTGTTCTTCTATATGTGTTTCAAGCAGACACGTCCCTTTCACAAAAACTGGGAGATGTTTTTGGACACGTGCTTTGACAGGTTGTACATACTGCAGGGTGGCATTGATGTGACTCAATTTCATTCCAACAACACTTGAATTGTTAACCACTTCCTTTCCACATGAACCCTCTGCAAAGCTTTGCCATTTCTGGTAGTTTTTCTCAGATTCACAGATGCAGATGATGTCCTCATGACCCTCCATGTCTGTGAAAAACTCATAAAAGGTGTGCAGGAGTGGTTTTTCCACAGGTGACGTAAGGAGAAAAATGACCTGAAATGTCCCTTTCGGTAAAATCTGTTTGCAAATCAGAGACACAGACTCTCGTAGGAAAGTCATTTTTGACTTAATCCAGGTCATTTCATCAACCTGAGTTTCATTTCCTTTGAAATCAGTGCATCCATTGCAAAAGATCCAACTAGTCTGCCCAAACAGATGTAAATGGCTCGTGAAATCTTTGACGCTCATGCCAGCAGGTATCCTGTAGCTTTGCAGAAAATGCACATTTGCAGCATGGTGCTGGAGGTACACACTGCAAAGACCTGAAATCTTTGAGTCTGGGTCAAAATCAAACACACAGAACACATTCATGTTGAGTAGCCAGTCAATGTTACAGAGGTCATTCGGTTTGAATTTGTTTGTGACCAGTATGAACCATTTTTCTTTTTCAATGAACTTCTTCCCACTGGTCAGTAGCATTGAGAGCTTTCGTCCAAGGTCTTGGCACATCTCTGGAGCACAGAGGAACAGATTTTTCTCTGCTTCCTCTCTTTGAGCATCACGATCTTTGACCCGTTGGTAAAAATCACCTATGTCTTTGTCACTTACAGGCTCCGTTTTAGAGCCTACTCTTCGTAGAATCAATTCTTTTTCAAATTCCACTTTGTTAGATAACTCTTTGAAATTTGGCAACTTGACAACATACACCTTACTCCTGACGATGCTTAGTGAAGGCACAATATCCACCTCCACCACATACCTCTTTTCTGTACTTTGCTCCTTGTTACTTTGTTCCATAACTTCAATGAAAGTTGGAGGTCGCACACACTGGCGTACATGTTCTTTGTCATTGGAGAAGCTTCTTTCAATGTGGTCCAAAGCATCTACATACATGTCCTTTTCTTTTACAGGAATTCCAATTATCTCACCGTGCACATATCCTGCATCCTCCTTGCTGTCCATCACACCAAAGTGTATAGTGCCATTTGATCTGATATTCATACAGCCTGATGCAAATTTCAGAACCTCCTTAGCAAACTTTGCTTGGAGTCTTGTTCGGTCCAGTGTAGCAGCTAAAGCAAAAGACTTGTATTCGTGACAAGGAGACATCAGATTGAAGGCACCTGATTCAGGCTGGAGCACTCTGTGTTTGACATAAATGAAATCAATTCCTTCTTCATCAAATGGTCGTGGTTTGCAGTCGTCCTTTGAAGACGACGTGCTTTGTTCTGGAGGAGTTAGTTTCTCCTCAGACACATGTTGGTCTCTCACAGGAAGTTGAGGACTGTCGCCTGCTGTAGAGGAACCTTGAGCTGATCTCTGCTTGTTATTTGGCTCAGACTTAGAGTTTTTGGCACCACCAGGGGGCTTTTTGTTCCCCTGACATTTTTGTAGAGCGTTAAGAAGAGCATCTCTTTTTTGTATAATCAAATGGGCAGGCCCTGACTTCATGCAAATCTCAGTTTTTAAAAAGTCCTCATTGAGTGCAAGAAGGGTTTGTCCATCCACTTCCTCTTCATGGAGCTTTTTTATGTATTGCTCCTTTACTCCAATGGATTTAAGCCAGGCACTTACTTCAGACTCACTCCAGTTCTGAGGCGACTGCTCAGGTTTATCAGCTAAATACAGAAAGGAGAAAAAGATGAAAAATTTGATTATTAGATAAATAAGAAAAACAAGAGTTGTTGACTGCTCTATAAATGTTGTATGGCAACACAAAAAATTCTGGTCAACATGTCATTATTTTTCTACAGTAAATTAAGTGTATACATTAAACTTACCCATAATTTATTTATTCTTTTTTCATTTCTTCTGCAGCAGCATTTACTTAGACCTTTCTATCTGTAAAATAAAGAAGTACAACTATATTTAGATAAATATTATTTTTCACTTTTGTGTAGTATGACAAAAATAGTCTAAATACAAAATCATGGGTAAGAAGCCATAAATATAAGATACACCAATACATTGTTAAGCCATAATTTAATTTACGTATTCCTAATATTAATATAAAGAAACAAGTATATTTTAAATCTGTCTGTGAGAAAAAAAAAGATTGGTACATACAAGTACAGTGTATTTGGTTAGTTATTTATTGTAACTTGTTGGATTAAATGTATTAAAGGAGCTACTGACCAATTAGGTTCTTCCATAGATTAATAAATTGATCATCAGATATTTGTTAAAATAACAACAATAAACAGTATAAGTTAAAAAAAAAAACATATTTGGTCACAATTCATGCAACAAACATTAACTTGTTTGGTGCCTGGTATGACTGGAAGCTCCATGTTTGGTTATCTAAAGAAGGAAAAAAGCTTTTAGTTCTGTTTTTGGTTAATCATCTCCAGTGAGTTATGTGTCATTAAAGTGATAACTCAGACATGGTGAGGTTATGAACACATTAACACCTTACCTGTTGAGGATATCGCTTTGAATATTCTGTTTGGAGATTTTTATTATTATTGTTTTATTTTATTTTATTTTTTACATATACATGCCTCTGATTAAAGACCCAGAATGAATGCTGAGGGCTGTATAACATAAAAGCTAAAAGTGAAGCAAACATGCTATAATAGGTTACAAAAAGCTCCAAGTTTTACAAGGGTTTGAAGAGTGAATTTGTTTTTGTCAAGCTCTGGTTTGAGAATTGAACCAGGTGCAGACAGACACGAGGAACTTGAGGGTAAAAATAAAGAAAATATTGATTAAATACTTTAAATACAAGAACAAAGACTGTCATGGCAGCAAAAGTTACACACTAAAGGAGCACAGTGGGACAGAGCATGATGGCTGAGGGAGCACAATCCACAAACAGGGAGGAAACACAAGGACGCTGAACCTAAAGAGACACTGACGAGACACAACGATGAACACCTGGGGCGACTGTGATTGGGAACAGGTGAAGCTGAGAGGAGCTGGCAACATGAGGGGAGAAACACGAGAGAAGCTGGAGACCAGTGAAACAGACTCACAGAGAAAAAAAACAAGAACCACAAGAAGACCAAACACAAATGTTACAAAAAAAAAAAAGGTCATAGCTGTGATCTAAAAAAGTTAAGTCCTAGTCCCACTGGTTTGTCCACTATGAGAAGGGACTACTGTATTTATAAGACTGAGCTTAGTACAGCTCCTCAAACTGAAGAAGTCTTTCAGATGAAAGATTTCTACACTGTTTTTTTTTAACTCGTCCAGAGGACCTGACTTAACTTTTTTACATTTTTCTACCTGGATTATTGAGCATGCATCAGGATATCATAGCTGTGATGTTCCAAACAAGCTAAACGGTTAAAATAACTGGCAGTATGCTAAAGAAGTTACAGTCCAAATAACGGATGAAATAAACTACATCATTAACAGGAAAACAATAGTGTTAATGCTGACTCAGCATTCACACAATTAACGACTAATCTGAGAGGGAACAATGTGAACTGCTGCCTGAAAACAACTGAAGTCCTGACGCTTTTAGAGTGCCTCTTGCAAAACACTATTTCAAAAACCTTTACTTTGTCCGTTTTGCATTACACCATTATTTACACAAAAAAATGTTTGGCTATTTTTAAGCACAAATAAAAGCAGCGGGACTCGCTAAAATAACGTATGTTTTGAGTAATTCAAAACTTATAGTGGTGTAAAGATTAATTATTAGCATTTGCATAACCATATTTTTTTTAAAGACAGTGTTAAGATTTTACTTTGTTCTTCATTGTGTCAAAAGTAAATTGTTCCCACAAACTACGTTTTTTTTTTTTCAAAGAGCCGTCTACAACAGGTAAGATATTGCTTATTTATTTTTCACAGAACCATCCATCCATTATCTTTTTACCCGCTTCTTCTATTTTGGGTCACGGGGGTCACCGGTGCCCATGTTTAGCAATCATTGTGTGAGGGGCGGGGTACACCCTGGACAGGTCCAGGGCCACATGGAGGCAAACAAGACAAGGGATTTGAACCGGGGACCTGCTCGCTGAGAGGCAGCAGCTCTACCAGTTGCGCCACCGTGCTGCCCTTCACAGAACCACACTTGAAAAATATATGAAATATTCCCTTAATAGGTGGACACCGAGTCGGTTTCAATAAAATTAGGACGCTCAAAGTGTAACCATTCAAACAATTATAAGAGGAATTTGTAATATTTAGTCTTTTTGAAGTCATTTTTGTGTCTCCATGATGGGGTTAAGTTTTGGTCATTTTATGTTTTGTAATGATTGTTATGTGTTGATTACAAATGTTTAATGTTGTGCCTAGTTCATGACATTTTTAAAAGTGTAACTTTTCAACATTTGCCACAGAACATAACTGATAAATCGATCATATTTTGCTAGAAATGTAATATGAAAAAATGTTTGGTGTTAAGACTTTCAACAACTATTTCAGCCTTTTGTAAAACACTGTCTTGTTGGGCTTTTGATTGTTTTTGCATGACGCCATTCCGTAGCATTTTACATTCACGTGTTCAACATTTAGTGTTTCATGTTGGGGTGGGGTTCCCTCCCACAATCAACAATGAAAAAGGTGGCATGGTGGCTCAGTTGGTAGAGCTGCCGCCTCTCAGTGAGAAGGTCGCTGGATCAAATCCTGGTCCGGGGTCTCTCTGGGTGGCTTTGCATGTTTTCTCCGTGCATGCATGGAGTTTCTCCCACAGATCAAAAACATGTATGTTAGGCTGATTGGTAACTCTAAATTGTCCCTAGGTGTGAATGAGAGAGTGAATGGTTGTTTGTCTCGTTTGTCTCTACGTGGCCCCGTGTTGGACCTAAGACTTATCCAGGTTGCACAGTGACCCCTGTGACCCAAAAAGTAAGCGGGTAAAGATAATGAATGGATGGATGGAACACTGGGAAAAACACTAACATTTCCAGAGATCCTACATGTGTAAACAGAAGCTTAGCCTTATGCAAGAACGATTTCTCTAAGTATTAGTATTTTTATGTTGATTGTGAGAAAAAAAAAAGTTAAAATGGACATTCTGTGCTTGATTCCACTACAGTTTCAGAGCCGGGTCACTAGGTGGTGCTGTAATTGTTGTATTTCAACAATACAAGCATGCGTCTTAAAAACAGTTACAACCAAAATGGTGAACACACAAACTTTCATTTGAGCTGAGGATGAGTTGCTCCCACATAGATGAAAAGGGTGAGCAGCACAAACAGCACTCTCCGCCATCGCTACTGTTGTTCATCAGCAACTGCAGCCGTTTTGTAGTGCGCATGCGCCATTTCACACAGATGAGAGGTATTTTCAAAAACCTCCACTCTAAGACCTGAACCCCAAAAAGCTTTGGTGTTTGGAGCGTTGTCCTGTACACAAATTATTTAAAGTATTTAAAGTATTTTAGAATTGAATTGGATGATCAAAACAGAGCAATTTCACTTGAAAATGGCATCGTGTAAGAGAGCGTGGTCACTTCAATAGTTTAGGCATTAACCGTGGTTATAACAGCTTTCACTTTGTTTAAAAATGATATTAGGTATGTTTTAATACTGTAATCTTGTATATTTGTTGCAGTTCTGTCTAATGGTTCATGTCTCATTGTCTTGTCTAGTATGTTTTGTGTGCCTACTTTGTGAAACAAATTGCTCTTTGTGGATAATAAAGATTCTTGAACTTGAGTGGTGGTGGTCATTTCACCTCTGTATTAATTTAATATGACTGGTTTAACTGGTTTGTGTCTTTTTCTGGGCTAAAATCAGGAGGGGTTCTACAACTTTTTGTGACCCCGGTCTTCTGGGTCCAAATTACTGTTCTCTGCAGGCTTTCAAGATTGCTCATGTAAAAATATTGCATTTAGTCTAAGATTCTCAACACATCAGTGAAATAACAATAAAAAAAAAATAAAAAACATGCACAGGTTCATGAAACTGGAAACAAGGAAGTCTAAGGTGATCTCTACGTTTAAACGAGCAAAGCAGAAAACACATCTCCATTACATCTTGTGGGTTTGTGGAGCCGTGCTGTAAGTAACCACGACAGTTCTGAAGTATGTAGAGGTGCGATAAGAGGTAAACACGTTTATTTTGGAAATAGACTGACGTTTACTTTTCTTACCTTGAAGTAAAAGCGGGAGAAACCCGCCATTTTATTCCGGTTTCTCCGTCCCGTGCTGCCTTCACGGTCAGCTGCGTTCACTGCGGCTGCTCGTTTCTGCCGGTTTCGTTTTTTAGGAAATGCCAACACCAACAGGGCGGGTCAACCAGATTAAAGGCACATTACATGATAACTCTCAGAAGTTTATGAAATAAGTAACACACTATCGTTTAAACCCCCACCTGTAATAGCTAAAATTAAAACAGTAGCAACAATGCTCTATATTAAGAAGATGAAATATCCCACATTAATAGAATAGCTCTCAAGTAAACTCAAACTCAGTGAAGCAGCTGACCAAAGATTATAATTGTATTTTAAATAGGGTTTTCACCAAGTTAACAAAACCCAAATTACTTGACTAAGAGACCACTATGGTGGACAGATCCAGCAGCAACCTGAAGCTATTGGAGAAATAAATGTAAAAATACAGCATGAGGTCAAAACTCACCTGTAGCATCTTTCATAAAGCGGCTAAAGGTAGCCATAGCCATAGTGGTTCATGCAGAATTAGGGGTTATTGTTGAGGTATTATGAAAAGTGAAAAATATTTTTCCCTGTGTCTGTGTGTTTTAATGAACAAAGCTTGCAGTAAACATCTTCAATTAAATATTTTTGGAGTCAACCCAATTCAACTGAACTTAGACAACCCAAAAATGTCCGTAATTCAGTGGATTTTATGAGTGTGATGTCATTAAATTGTGCATTACGATAACCTCAAGGTTTGACCAAAATGGCTACAACTCCATTTCTGGATGATGTGCTAAAAACTGTTATGAAAGGTGGCAGGTGGTGTGCATTCCTAGGGCCAAACTACTGATAACCCATTAATAACAGAGGTAATCACCAACTCACTGACAAAATCACAGCAATCCAAGCTGGTCTGTGAGAAAGAAATAGGAAGACACTAAATCGGTTTTTCTTATGCTCTGGTTGTTGATACTGTCTTATCATCAAGGGATGCAGGAAGACCAACCAACAAGCAAATAATGAGTAGAAAACAAAATAGAATTTAATGTGCAAGTAATCAACTTCACTTTGATAAGCATTAAAACGTTTTTCATACATTAACAGTTTGTGGCCCTGCTTCTGAACGCATCGTTGACAACGCAAACATGAGGATTAAATTAATGTTTGTGTCCAGATCTCACCCTGAACAGCCTTTGGAACGGTTCACTCTTACCGAGTCGGCACGACAGTTTCGATTTACAAAAACAGAAATATTTTAGCAGCATTACCTGGATTCAAGCACGGTAAGCATAAGATCTGTACCCAGACAGCACAGTGATATCCCCCCCACCCCCCTTAAAAAGGCACACTGGCCATCATATTAAGCAATTCATGATTCAAATTTGGATTTATACAAAAACAGCTTCTGTGCGGCAAATACTCACTGAGAAACACACAAGATTGCACAATAAAACCACTCAAGAGTTCCAACATCATTTACACACAGTTCCCAGACCAGACATTTATGGACACGCTTTTGAGCACAATAAAAAATGTTTATCTTCTTAGTCCAGCTACAAAAAACCAACACCTTTGTTGTTTATGTGACTTCATCGCTGCAGAAACACGTCGGGGACCATTTGAATCCAGGTCAGCAGAAGGCACTTTAGAATCTGGCTGCTGTGGCTGGAAGTGGATCTGCTCCTCACCTGCTTACAAGCAACAGACTCCTCCAGGACTCTTTAAGGCTACACTCCCATCTGTGCTGGGTCCACCTTACTCCAGTTCACACTGGTTCACTATCCAGAGTATCTGTGGGCATGACAGGCTGACCAGAATCTGTTTGCCCATGAGAAACTGAAGGCGGTTCTGAAACCAGTGTGGCGTTTGTCTTTAGACTGTTCGTGTCAGTCTGTGTGGACGGTCCTTGCTCTGCCGGCTGCACCGTCTGGACTGTAGGTCCAGGCTCGTTTGGTGGCGAGGACACTGGTTCAGCAGCCAGTGTGTGGCTGAACTCCACCGACTGCGTCAAATGTGAAGGGTCCCGGTGTTGTTGTAACGAAGGTTCGGATTTGTGCGTCGGCAGGTGCTGCGTGCACGGCTCAGTTTGTTTTTGTGGCCAATGGTGCGCACACCGAGAGTAATAAGGCAGGAACGGCCTCTCAGGTGCGCAGGTCCGCATGGCCAGGTAGGTGTGCATGAGCAGGTGTGGAAAACGGGACGTGAAGTACGAGACAAAGTCATCGGGGATGGAGCCCAGAGTCTCCTGCACCTCCGCAGGCAGCTCTCTGTAATGATGTTTCTGTGGAGGGAAGGTCAACTATGAATCTGACAGCTGGGGAAAGTTTCTTTTTAAAGAAAATGATGAATTAGCATGTGAGAATTCCCTCTTACCTTGTTTCTCATGGCACGCAGCAGGTCTCTGACTGAACCGCCCTTATAGGAGCGAAATTTCCGCAGATCTAAGAGAGACAGAAAGATGAAACCCACTATATTCATCAAAAATAAACTCACGATTCGTTTCAAACAGATTTATTGAACTAAACATTTTACATTAATACAGATTTTTGTCTTATTCTGTAAGTGAAACTTGGAGTGAGCAAAACAATAATGAAATAATAATAAATAAAAAAACATAACACATCAGATGCATAATATAATTTATTCATTGACAGATCCATCAATAAAAATAAAAACAAGAACTGGACTTAATTTTGAAAGGGACCTTTATTACTCCTAGATGCAGCCACACACCAAAAGGGAAGTTTGCACATTGCTTATTTTTCAAGTTTTCCAGCTCACAAGATTTACATTTCTATGGTGGCAGCCATCTTGGATTTGGACCTGGCAACCTTTAAACAGAAACTTTATTATGTGTAGATGCAGCGACGCACCAAAATGGAAGCTGGTACCTCACTTATTTTTCAAGTTATCATGCTCGTAACATTCACAGACGGATGAAGGGAATTTCCAAATCCCCATTTTTGCACTGTGACGGGGGACAAGTAGTAATATAAATAAGGAATGGAGTTTCTTAGCACCCACAACGAGCCTCTTACCTGTCTGCAGGGGGACTGTGATGTGCTCCCTCCAGTCACTCTTCACAACAGCCCTCCCTCCTCTCTCCAGCTGTCTCACGATTGATCCGTCCAGCGGCTCCTTTTCTATTCTGTCACTCACATCCTGCAAACAAACAGCAAAAAACATTGTAGATAAATACAAACAGCCAAAGTATCACACAGTGTGCAATGATCTCATTTGAAATATTTGTACCCTAAAATAATACATGCATACATTTGCAAATATAGAAGTGAAAACAAATCTACTAAACTAGAACATTTAGATCAAGAAGTTTAACAGTTTTTGAATTCTGTGTTCTGTAGTGGACTGTTTTCTTACAAACACATTGTCTTTGTTTAGTTATATGAAAATACTTTGCTTAAAAATTTTATTAAATTATTTTAGTTTTTTTCTGCAGTAATTAATAGATGTATAGTAACTTAAACTTATATATCAAAGCTAAATCTACAAAATACAAGTAAAATGGTCAATTTATTTCATTTTCAAGACGACTGATCATCTGTGTGCACCGAGTTTAAAACGTGACTAACCTGAAAGAACTGTAACTCTTTCTCCAGACTCCAGAAGAAAGGGTGCTTGAGAACACTTTCAGCTGAAGGTCTTCTTTGAGGATCCATGCTCAGCATCTGTTCTACTAGACTTTTAGCTACAATGTCACCTAGAGAGAAAACAAGCATGTACTTTTTGACAATGTGTTTGAAAGTGTTTATCAACAGTCTTAAATGTTCACTGCCAGAAAAAAAAAAAATCAACTTCATTAAATGAAAATGGTGCACGTTTTTGGGTCTTATATGTTGAAAAACAAAACAAAATACCATGCTTGTCACTTTGCAGATAGTCGAGGTTGTACGTGCCCAGCAGGATGTTGGCTTGTCTCTGCAGAGATTTGCCAAAGGGGTGTTTGCCCTGAGACACCACGTAGTAGAAGACACAGCCAGCAGAGAAAACATCAACTGCACAAGTCTGCAGGACACAAGAGAGCAGAACATTAGAGGCATCATTAGGCCATTTGATTTAGTACTACTATTTTAAGAGTTAACAATAACATCTCATCTACTGCAAATAACTGAGCAGGGCATTTCAGTGTTTCCCTTAACATTATACAAGGAGGGCACCCCGCCCGGTCAACAGGACCAAGTGCCCCACCCCCCGTTCCAACCAGCGCACACACGTGTCTCTCCGTCTCTCTCCCCGCCCCCCATCGACAAAAATCACGAGAGATACGAGCACCCTGCCAAGGCAAGTAAACTAGGGCAAACACTGCATCAGTGTTTCCCCTACCATTATATAAACAGGGCGCCCCGCCCCATCAACAGAACTGAGCGCCCCATTTACTGAACCCCCCCCGGTCAACAACTGTCGGTACTGATGTAGCGCGGGGTGCAATACAAATGCGCTAGCAAAGATGCTTCTGTCGACTGGCAGCAACGTAGCACAAAGCTAGCAGGCAGGCAACACAGATGTCACTCCGCCCCGCCCCCCAATCAAAAAAAAAATATATATATATATATATATATATATATATATTTTTTTTTTTTTAGGGGGAACACTGCTGCACTTATGTTTCTTATAAACCCTGACAACTAAAACCGCTCACATCAACTGTTACAAAGCTGCATCTTTATCACCGACTCACTGGATTGTCTTTGAAGTCCTCACTGAGAACCTCAGGAGCGATCCAACCCTCAGTGCCTGGAACCCCGGACCTTCTACTGAAGCTGTGACGCCCCACTGCGAGCTTCTTGCACAGACCGAAGTCGGAGATCATGGCCCGGACTCTGCCGTGTGCGTTGGGCATGGACACCAGAATGTTGTGGGGTTTAAGGTCTCTGTGGACTGGAGAAAAAGATAGTCATTAATAAACAAGGCCCAAAAACAAGGAGACTGAGGAAGTGTTTTTAATTTCAGTGATAAGTACCTATCTTAAGGGAGTGCAGGTGAACTAGTCCAGACATGGTCTGCTGCAGAAGAGCGACGGGTTCAAGTCCATGACGACTGAAATCCTTTATTTCCACGTACTAATTGGTGACAGACAATAAATTACAATTGAATACGGTGCAGGACTCATTCTAACGAGTTTCATGTAGCTCGTGCTCAGTTTAAAACGAAATGTTAAGAAGAAAAACCACACAAGGTTTTCTTAGAAACCATGAACCACCTCCTGAAGCGTGGCGGCACACAGTTCTATAGCGATGTACTGGAACTGCCGGTCTCTCTCGGTGCAGAAGTAGCGGATCACGTTTGGATGCTCATCAGACTCTCTGAGCAGCTGAACCTCTCGATCTGCGAAGCTGAAGCATTCTGGGAGAATCCTCTTCACCGCTACAGAACGGTTGTCAAACTGTCCCCTTGTGGAGGAATGATATAATCGGTTTGTTTTCGTGTTGTTTTAAACATTTAAAGCTGCTGGGGATGATTCACTCACTTGTAAACAATCGTCCCCTCAGCACCGTGACCCAAGACGTGTTTAGGATGGAACGTTATGTTCCCCACCCGGACAACATTGGAATCGTCCTCCGAGACGCCATCTTCATGCTCATTGGCTGAGCTCCCCAGCTCTGACACAGACATGTTGGAGTGGTTGGAGGCCCGGGGGGTGACGTTAGGGCTGCTGTGGTCCGAGCAATCGAAGCGAGCGCGGGTCACCTCCAAGTAGTCGCCGTCTGCAGGCCCCACGTCAGCGGGGGAGAAGGGCTGCTGCTTCTGGAGCAGCTCCAACCGTTCCTCCATCTGCCGCTGGAACTCCTGGTGCTGCAGCTGCTGCTGCTTGTGCACACTCTGAATAACGAGCACATTTACAGCTCAGAGGAAACAAAGCCTTGTGTCTGAAGTTTGTGGTACACCATTTAGTCTTATCCCTAACTTTCACAAGTGTATCATTTTATAAAGATGCACAAAAACATCTGTTTCCTCAGAATGACTTTAAACATTTAAATTCCTTCAACATAATTGTAAGTTAATGTTGCCGTTTCAAGTTGACCAATCACTGAAATTAATCTTTCACTAAATTTGTCAATAAAGTCTGTTCAAATTTATCTTCTTGCTCTGAAATGGAGTTAGCCAACAAGAAGTCCACATCTCAAAGTGTGAAGAAGCGTTAGCTAGGCCTGTCACGATAACAAATTTTGCTGGGCAATTAATTGTCTCAGAAATTATTGCGATAAACGATTATATTGTTTGAAATTCAACAATAATTAGTCATTATTGTTGAATTAAGAAGAAATGTTGGTTAATTTTTGAACGGTGAAAACAGGTTTTAAAGAGAAAGGGAGGGGTCAGTGAAGAGCACCGGAGTTGAGCCTTTTGTCATCCAGTGTCTTCAGTAGAAAGAGAGAGACGAAGAAATAATAATAATAATAATAATAATAATAATAATAATGTCATCACAATGTCAGCACTGTATGTTTCCATACAATGGCGAAATTAGTCTCTGCATTTAACCCATCCACC